AGCATAACGTTAGCTTAAGGTAGTACCGCGGGAAGACTCAGAAATACTACCTTAAGTCTAAACACACAGTCTGTGAGTGAGGCTGCAGGTGGCGCCCCCTGCTGGAGAGGACCGGTAACAGCACTGTCACTCATTATGACTTCAGCTGTAGTCTGTTCATTGCTATTCATCTGCTGTCCCACTTTCTGTTTCATGGAGTGATGATGGGACCCCTGGAGAACCTCTTCAGTCCTGGGTCTACAGCCTCAGTCCTGGGTCTACAGCCTCAGTCCTGGATCTACAGCTTCAGTCCTGGGTCTGCAGCCTCAGTCCTGGGTCTACAGCCTCAGTCCTGGGTCTACAGCCTCAGTCCTGGATCTACAGCTTCAGTCCTGGGTCTGCAGCCTCAGTCCTGGGTCTACAGCCTCAGTCCTGGGTCTGCAGCCTCAGTCCTGGGTCTACAGCCTCAGTCCTGGGTCTACAGCCTCAGTCCTGGGTCTACAGCCTCAGTCCTGGGTCTCTCTGAGGACTTTAGGCAGATGTGGATTCACCAACAACACATTGGTCTGAGAAAAACAGTTAAAATCAGGAAATGCAATAATAATAAACACACAGGAGCCATTTTTTGACACGGAACCGGAACAAACGTCAAATATGAATTGTTTGTATTTTAATGTGTTTAGTGTCTCTGTGTCCAGTGAAACACCAGCTCCATCTGCCTGTAGTATTTTAGATTTTGTTTTTGTTTTTTTATAGACACAGGTTTAGTCCATCTGAAGTCCATCACTGTTGAAAGTCCGACCGGGAGGAACCGGTCCCAGAGCAGAACCAGCCCCAAAGAACCAGGAACTGAGAAGGTTTCAAAAGGTGTGAGATTTGAACTTCTCTCAAATCAAAGGAATTCGGAAAAAAAAAATCCCCAATTTGGAAAAATAATGAATCTGCGACAGTGGCTCAGTTGGTAGACCATTGGCACTTAGCCCCACTTTGCCTGAAGCCCCCGCTGAAAGATCAGGGCTGTGCCACAGAGCGGCCATCCTCCTGTGGACTCCCCACCTGCAGGAGGATCAGTGAGGGGGTGGTGCTCTGTGGACTGGGGGCAGCTCTGACTGCCACCCCTGACCCAGAAATGGAGGGGAAGAAAATGGATGGATGGATCTGTGTTAGTAGAAGGCGTTTTTACAGACACTGGTCCATCAAAGCCTCCGACCAAACACCCTCCACTCACTCTTCACATGCAGACCTGTTGTGCATGATTTTAGTGGTAGGGGAAACCGGAGCACCCAGAGGAAACCTACGCAGACACGGGGAGAACATGCAAACTCCACTCAGAAAGACCCTGTTCCGACCGGGATTCGAACCCAGGACCTTCTTGCTGAGAAGCAAGAACCATAGAAAATAAAATATATCAACAGAATCTGATTTTTTAAAAGATGTCTGACAAAACTAAAAACCGTCAAATTGACTGCCGTGGTTTAGGATCCTGAAGGTCTGGACCCTGGACTGTGGACCCTGGACTGTGGCCCCTGGACCCTGGACTGTGGACCCTGGACTGTGGACCCTGGACTGTGGGACGAGACCAGAAGTCCTGATGAACATTTGGACAGAAACCTGATGCATGTTGGCCATCCCCGGCTTTTTTTCCCTCTTCCACAAACTGTAAAAGGAAACAAAGGAAACAGGATCCAGGGCCGTGTTTACAGGTGCGCCTCCCTCTGCACCTCCCTCTGTGCCTCTCTCTGCACCTCCCTCTGCACATCCCTCTGCGCCTCCCCCTGAACCTCCCACTGCACCAACCTCTGTGCTCCCTCTGCACATCCCTCAGGACCTCCCTCTGCACCAACCTCAGTGCTCACCTCTGCACGTCCATCTGCTCCTCCATCTGCACCTCCCTCTGCTCCCTCGCCTCCCTCTGCTCCTCCCTCTGCTCCTCCCTCTGCACCAACCTCTGTACTCCCACTGCGCCTCCCTCTTCTCCTCCCTCTGCACCAACTTCAGTGCTCACCTCTGCACCTCCATCTGCTCCTCCATCTGCACCTCCCTCTGTGCTCCTTCTGCACCTCTCTCTGCGCCTCCCTCTGCTCCTCCCTCTCCTCCCTCTGCTCCTCCCTCTGCACCTCCCTCTGCACCAACCTCTGTACTCCCTCTGCTCCTCCCTCTGCGCCTCCCTCTGCACCTCCCTCTGTGCTCCCTCTGCACCTCTCTCTGCGCCTCCCTCTGTGCCTCCCTCTGTATGGATTGCTGCTGCGCTCGTAAACAGAATGTCACGGCAGCACCTACAGACCTACAAAACATCAAAACAACAGGATCTCATGCAAGAGTGATATCAGAGAGAGAAACCTACCCTACCCTAACCAAGGCATTTCCATTTGTTGTGGGTAGGATATGGAACTGCCCTTCCTCCTGGTCCCTCTCTCTCTAGTCTCTCTCTCTCTGGTCTCCTCCTGGTCTCTCTCTCTGGTCTCGCTCTGGTCTCTCTCTCTCTCTGGTCTCCTCCTGGTCTCTCTCTCTGGTCTCGCTCTGGTCTCTCTCTCTCTCTGGTCTCTCTCTAGTCTCTCTCTCTCTCTGGTCTCTCCCTCTGGTTTCTCTCTGGTCTCCTCCTGGTCTCTCTCTCTGTGGTCTCTCTCTTTGGTCTCTCTCTCTCTCTGGTCTCTCTCTGGTCTCTCCCTCTGGTCTCTCTCTGGTCTCCTCCTGGTCTCTCTCTCTGTGGTCTCTCTCTGGTCTCTCTCTGGTCTCTCTCTCTCTTTGGTCTCTCTCTCTCTTTGGTCTCTCTCTCTCTCTGGTCTCTCCCTCTAGTCTCTCTCTGGTCTCCTCCTGGTCTCTCTCTCTGTGGTCTCTCTCTGGTCTCTCTCTGGTCTCCTCCTGGTCTCTCTCTCTGTGGTCTCTCTCTTTGGTCTCTCTCTCTCTCTGGTCTCTATCTCTGGTCTCTCCCAGGTCTCTCTCTCTCTCTGGTCTCTCTCTCTCTCTGGTCTCTCTCTCTGGTCTCTCTCTGGTCTCCTCCTGGTCTCTCTCTGGTCTCCTCCTGGTCTCTCTCTTTGGTCTCTCTCTCTCTTTGGTCTCTCTCTCTCTCTGGGGTCTCTCTCTGGTCTCTCCCTGGTCTCTCCCAGTGCTTCTTCCACCTCTGTGAAGTTTGACAAATGTTTTCTTCCTGGTTCTGTCTCTGGTGCGAGTCTCTTCGTGGATGAGCTCCTTGATGGACGACCACAGGGACCGGCTCCTCGTGCAGCGGCGCCCCCTGAGACCAGCTGACGGCTGCTCCAAACCTGCACGACCCCCCTCCTCCCCGCGCCGTTCTAAATATGACTTTAACCCGTTTTAAGTCACTCAAGCGCACAAACAGCAGCAGCTTTCATAAGAACAGGCCTTGGTCCCCAGCGGCTAACGTCTCGCGTGGCTAACGTCTCGCGCAGCTAGTGTCTCGCGTGGCTAACGTCTCGCGCGGCTAGTGTCTCGCATGGCTAACGTCTCGCGCAGCTAGTGTCTCGCGCAGCTAGTGTCTCGCGCGGCTAGTGTCTCGCGTAGCTAACTAATGTGTGTTTGAAGCCGATTGCCACGAGCTTTTTCAAATGTGAGAAGAGATATTGATATTCTGTACGTCTGAAAACACAAACAAACGTGCAGAAGGAAGAGGAGAGAGCGTCCTGAGAGAGAGACCAGAGAGAGACTGGAGGGAGACCAGAGAGAGAGACCAGAGAGAGGGACCAGAGAGAGAGACCAGAGAGAGGGACCAGAGAGAGGGACCAGAGAGAGGGACCAGAGGGAGACCAGAGAGGGACCAGAGAGAGAGACCAGAGAGAGGGACCAGAGAGAGGGACCAGAGAGAGGGACCAGAGAGAGGGACCAGAGAGAGAGACCAGAGAGAGACTGGAGGGAGACCAGAGAGAGAGACCAGAGAGAGAGACCAGAGAGAGGGACCAGAGAGAGGGACCAGAGAGAGACCAGGGAGAGACCAGAGAGAGACCAGAGAGAGAGACCAGAGAGAGACCAGGGAGAGACCAGAGAGGGACCAGAGAGAGACCAGAGAGGGACCAGAGAGAGAGACCAGAGAGACACTAGAGAAAGAGAGAGAGGGAGAATGAGACTAGAGAGATCAGAGGAGTAGAAAAAGAGAGAGAGCAGTGAGAAATATATATTATTAATCTTTATTTCCGACTCAAGATTAAATTTGTCCATAAATAAACAGAATAAACAAAACAAAACAAAATAGAGCAGAGATAGAGGGTGATCGAACATGTTTCAGTGTTTGTGGAAACCAGAGCAGAGCCAGAAAGTGAGAGACAGAGAGAGAGAGAGAGAGAGTCCTTTAGATCACACCAACCAACAAAACAAACCGGACTTGATTTATATTCATCAGTTTAATGAAGACATGGGAGAAACCCTCTGATCTGTCCTGCTCCTGCTGCTGCTGCTCCTGCTGCTGCTGCTGCTGCTGTTTCTGATGCTGCTGCTGCTGAAGCTTTGAAATCACAAATATCGATGATGTGTTGTGAGTTTAGTCCTCAGAGAAATTAAAAGCTTGTAAATGTTGCCGCCTGAACGTCAGTCTGTGTTCAGGACTCACGGACGTGCGGAGAGGCTGCAGTACCGCGGAGTCGCCAGCAGAGGTCCCCGTGGGCGTGTGGATACAGCAGCAGTGGTTCTACAGCAGAAGGAAACACTGTACTTCACCAAACAAGGAAGTGAAACTGTCAGAGCGGATCTGAACATCGTCAGAGAAGAAGCCTGTCTCACATTTTCAGGAAGACTGTTCCAGATTTTAGCTGCATATTTAGTCCTGCCTCAGGGACCAGCCGGAGGCCAGTCCCTGTGCTCCTCAGAGTCAGAGTCAGTGGTGTTCCAAGGGTACCCCGGGGCCCCAGAGTCCTTCGGGGCCCCGATACCGACCACATAACCACATAAGGTTTATATTACAGTAGGTATAAATGTATATTTAATAATAAGGTAAAATGCAATTTTTATTTGTTTACATTAATATAAATAAAAGTAAGAAATTATCTACATTAAACAGTAAATGGATAGTCCAGGGGCCTCCCAGGCAGGGGCCTCCCAGGCTGTCCCGTCGACTGTTGTGAGTACTTCAGAACTTATCGTGACACAAAGAAATGAGAAATAATCTTTTTTACGCTTGTTCACTCTGTTATAATTCATTACAGAAACTACCTCAACGTGTATTAATTAATCTAATCTTTCATTTGGCCCTCAGTGTTTGTAGTCTAGATTAAAGATTAGTCTCTAGCTTTAATCTGCAAATGAGAGACTGCTTGTTTTTAACTTTTACCGTTCTCGAGCAATCTGTCATAAAATATAATAGTTTAATCCAAAATGCTGCCACTTCTTGGATCCGAACCCAGACGACCGCGATACAAGTGCCGTAACTGAACCACTCGACCATTATTACATTCAATAATAAGTAAGTAATGTTTATTTATACACCGCCTTTCACAGACCCGAGTCAAAGCGGTTTATAATTGTTATTTTTGGGCCTTAGTCTCTCACTCCACACAGAGATGGGAGGGGCCAGTACAGGAGGCACAGACCTATTGTACATGGTTTTAGTGGTAGGGGAAACAGGAGTACCCGGAGGAAACCTACGCAGACGCGGGGAGAACATGCAAGCTCCACTCAGAAAGGCCCTGGTCAGACCAGGATTCGAACCCAGGACCTTCTTGCTGAGAGGCGAGAGTGTTAACCACTCAGCCACCGTGCTGTCCAGTGTGCCCCAGGAAGGCTTTTTAACTGTTAATGAAGAACGTGGCAAGTTTTGCAGAACAAAAGTTTTTACCAACTCATCACTGCAGCTGCTGTAGCCTGAACAAGTCGACCGCTTGTGTCAAATCAGTCGGCCCTCGGGGGCCACCCTGCCAGTTTGGGGGCCCCCGGCAGCTGCCTGCCTTGGCTATTGGCACGGGACGCCTCAGGTCAGAGTTGGTTGTGGGTGAGGCCTGTGGGTGAGGCCAGTGGGTGAGGCTAAGCGGGTGAGGCCTGCGGGTGAGGCGAAGCGGGTGAGGCCTGCGGGTGAGGCTAAGCGGGTGAGGCCTGCGGGTGAGGCTAAGCAGGTGAGGCCTGCGGGTGAGGCCAGTGGGTGAGGCGTGCGGGTGAGGCTAAGCAGGTGAGGCGTGCGGGTGAGGCCTGCGGGTGAGGCTAAGCAGGTGAGGCGTGCGGGTGAGGCCAGTGGGTGAGGCCTGCGGGTGAGGCCAGTGGGTGAGGCGTGCGGGTGAGGCTAAGCAGGTGAGGCGTGCGGGTGAGGCCAGTGGGTGAGGCCTGCGGGTGAGGCCAGTGGGTGAGGCGTGCGGGTGAGGCTAAGCAGGTGAGGCCAAGCAGGTGAGGCCTGCGGGTGAGGCTAAGCGGGTGAGGCCCGGTGTGTCTGTTGTGTTCTCTCTGTTGTGTTTGTTGTGTGTTGGTTTCTCGGGAGTGTGCGATGTTGGAACTGAGTGTTTTCTCAGGGGGTTCGTTACAACTGCACCCAGCACTGGGGCTGCTCCGCTGGGGTCAGGAGGGGACTGAGACACCCCCGGAGGAGAGAGGAGGGAGGAGGGGGGAGAGAGGAGGGAGGAGGGGGGACGGGGGATAGAGGGAAAGGGGAGAGAGGAGGGAGGAAGGAGGAGAGAGGCGAGGGGGGAGACGCTCACTGTGGTCATTAACGAAGCAGAAATGACACAATTAGGAGCGAAAATCGATAACACAAATAAACACGACGGATAAAAAATCTGATCTTTGTGGTAAAGGTTTTTACACTCACTGTTCCTGAATGTTCCTGCTGCGACACATGGGGCTCCTCAGCACTGATCACTGATGCAATCCACCTGCTGGGGCTGGGATGGAATCAAGTGTCAAACGACCACCTGTGCGTTTTCGAGCAGTGTTAAGTTATGTAACGACTGTTTTTTTTTGCTGAAACGCAGTAATTTAAGGCATTAACAAAAAATAAATATATACCTAAAAAAATATTTGACTCAGGAAAAAGGTCGGTGAATCATTTGCATTTTAACCTGAAAAAAATAGTGTTCTGTGTTTGAAGGACACGTTGTTACTGCGCATTAACGGCAGCGTGTAGAGACTGAACAGAAGAGGTCCCAGGATCGACCCCTGTGGGACTCCACAGGTCAGGGCCATATGATCTGAGACACAGTTTCCAATCTCCACACAGTACTTCCTGTCTTCAAGGTAAGACCTGAACCAACTTTAGACGGAAAAAGTTGAGGCTCCGATTGTTCATGTTCCATTTGGAGCTCAAAAGTGGACATTTCTTTGGTCACGGTTCCTCTCGACGAACACAGATATTGTGACGTCGAGTAAACGCTGAAGAGCCTCTGAAGGAAAAACTAAACCTGTATCGATCGAGACGAGGAAGAAGCGGAAATCACACTTTTGTAAATATCAACAACGGAGGAAAAGCCCGAGCTGCGTTTGGAAAATAAAGAAGGAAATCAATTTGACCAAAACAAACAGAGAAACATCTGATGAACGTCCATCTGTTTTCTGCCGCTTTATCTGGGCAGCAGTCAGAGCAGACACAGGCAGCCCTCCTCCTGAGGCTGTCCCTGTGTTCTGGTCTCCCTCTGGTCTCCTCCTGGTGCGACATGGAGAAAACAGCAAGGAGGCCACTCGAACATGTGGAGGAGCAACGGCTCTACTCCGAGCCCCTACATGTGACTGAGCTCCTCACCCTATCTCACAGAAGGAGACTGCAGAGATACCAGCAAGAAGCCAGGGAGAGACCAGAGAGAGAGACCAGATAGACCAGAGAGAGACCAGAGAGAGAGAAAGACCAGCAAGAAACCAGAGCGAGACCAGAGAGAGCAGAGAGAGAGAGCAGAGAGAGAGACCAGAGAACTACAGACATAAACATAAAAACGATGGAAGTTTGAAACGTGTTTAAAGCTTTATTGTTTTCATCAGCGACAAACAGTGACACATTTGGACATGAAATGTACAAGAGTAAAACACAACATTAAAGGGGGGGGGGCACTGTTACAACCATGGACTGTACACGAGGACGGACCAAGTGTGACATCACCAGTGTGTCAGCTCTCTCATCTCTGTCTCTGGTCTCTCTCTTTGGTTTCTCTCCAGTCTCTCTCTAGTCTGTCTCCTCTCTAGTCTCTCTTTGGTCTCTTTCTGGTCTCTCTCTGGTCTCTTTCTGGTCTCTCTCCTCTCTGGTCTCTCTCTCTAGTCTTTGGTCTCTCTAGTCTCTCTCTGGTCTCTCGCTCTGTCCGTCGCTAGCTAAAGCCAAAATCTGCGTCCTGCGTCCTCCTGATTGGTCGGTTGTTAAGGGACGTATCTGAACTCACAAAATATAAACAGCAGGATCACAGCGAGCGATAAACCATGTGGAGCCAGAGAGAGTTGGAGCCAAACTTCATCCATGAGCACTTCGTTAAATGGCCTGAATGAGCTAGCGTGTTAGCATTGTCCATCTGTGCACAGTCTATGGTCACAACAATAGATATTCCTTAAACATTATTTCTGTTGTAAAGTTCTCTTCTTTTTGGATCAACACTAAAACACAAACACTGCAGAGAATTTACATTTATCTTTAATTGAGTCCATTTCGGATCCTTTTCCACTTCTGCTGTTTCAACGCTCTTTAAAGCTGGGGTCTCTCACTTCTTGTTTCAGAACCGACCCGATGTGGTCCAAGCCCCACAGAAGGACCCGGTATCTCAACTTTACAAACAAAAAAGTGGATCTAAAAAAACAAACCGGGAACAGCTCAAATCCTGGTCCCACCGTCAGCCTCGGCCCGGTCCAGAGAGAGACCCCACTCCAGGTCCAGAGAGAGACCCCACTCCCGGTCCAGAGAGAGACCCCACTCCCGGTCCAGAGAGAGACCCCACTCCCGGTCCAGAGAGAGACCCCACTCCCGGTCCAGAGAGACCCCACTCCCGGTCCAGAAAGAGACCCTACTCCCGGTCCAGAGAGAGACCCCACTCCCGGTCCAGAGAGACCCCACTCCCGGTCCAGAAAGAGACCCTACTCCCGGTCCAGAGAGTGACCCCACTCCAGGTCCAGAGAGAGACCCCACTCCCGGTCCAGAGAGAGACCCCACTCCCGGTCCAGAGAGACCCCACTCCCGGTCCAGAGAGTGACCCCACTCCAGGTCCAGAGAGAGACCCCACTACCGGTCCAGAGAGAGGCCCCGACTCCCGGTCCAGAGAGAGACCCCACTCCTGGTCCAGAGAGTGACCCCACTCCAGGTCCAGAGAGAGACCCCACTCCCGGTCCAGAGAGTGACCCCACTCCAGGTCCAGAGAGTGACCCCACTCCAGGTCCAGAGAGAGACCCTACTCCCGGTCCAGAGAGAGACCCCACTCCTGGTCCAGAGAGTGACCCCACTCCAGGTCCAGAGAGAGACCCCACTCCCGGTCCAGAGAGTGACCCCACTCCAGGTCCAGAGAGAGACCCCACTCCCGGTCCAGAGAGTGACCCCACTCCAGGTCCAGAGAGAGACCCCACTCCCGGTCCAGAGAGTGACCCCACTCCAGGTCCAGAGAGTGACCCCACTCCCGGTCCAGAGAGAGACCCCACTCCAGGTACAGAGAGAGACCCCACTCCCGGTCCAGAAAACCACACTGGTCCTGATTCATTGGTACCATGGTTAAACCGGGCCGTGATTCTAACCAGTGTGGCCCTGTTTCCACCAGCCCAGCTCGGCTCGGCTCTGTTGAGTCTCCATTACATTTTTATGTCTGGTTTCCGTATCCTAGCAACCAATCCACATTCTCCGGGGTTTCTCACTTTTTTTAAAAACATTTTTTCTGACTGGTTTCTCTCTGATGAAAGACTTTTATTTAAATTTATAAACATCGGTCGTACCAATGGTTTTCTGTACTTTTTATCATTGTGTTGATTTTCTGATCTGTTGTTGGCGAATACACAACTTTGTAAAGGGCAACACACAGAAACATTGGGCGGCACGGTGGCTGAGTGGTTAGCTCTCTCGCCTCTCAGCAAAAAGGATCTGGGTTCGAATCCCAGTCGGAACAGGGTCTTTCTGAGTGGAGTTTGAATGTTCTCCCTGTGTCTGTGTGAGTTTCCTCCGGGCGCTCCGGTTTTCCCTACCACTAAAAGCATGTGCAGTAGTTCAGGGTGAATGAGTGTGTGTTTGTGGGACAAAGAATGGAAATGATCCCAACGCTACAGTCCACTGTCCCAACCACATGAACCATTGAATTGTATTGAAATTCCTGGGTAACCATGGCTTCCAGCAGCTCTCAGCCAATCCCAGTCAGTTAGAAGACTTTGGTACCGCCCCCAAAACGACAGCCCTACGTGTTTTGAGTCCTCCTTATTCCTAATATTGTGCAAGTGCGCTGCAACACTGAACTTTCCCCACAGTAGAACATATTTTCTCCTGATGTTTGGTTTGTTTTGGGTTTGCTACAATACAGAACTAGATTCTAAAGTGCAATGGAAACACAGCAGACTCAACCCAAACCGAGCCGAGCCAGTGGGAACGTGGGCCGACCCAGATCCACAGACTGCACGGTGAGAATCAGGGACCCCAGCTTTAATGAGTCCATGCTACAGCTGCAAACAGAGACATTCATCATCGTTATAATACAATGCTTTCTCTGAACACTTTTGGTACCAGCACACGTCTGGTACCAGCACACTTCTGGTACCAGCACACTTCTGGTACCAGCACAGGTCTGGTACCAGCACAGGTCTGGTACCAGCACAGGTCTGGTACCAGCACACATCTGGTACCAGCACAGGTCTGGTACCAGCACAGGTCTGGTACCAGCACACATTTGGTACCAGCACACTTTTGGTACCAGCACACGTCTGGTACCAGCACACTTCTGGTACCAGCACAGGTCTGGTACCAGCACACATCTGATACCAGCACAGGTCTGGTACCAGCACACATCTGATACCAGCACAGGTCTGGTACCAGCACAGGTCTGGTACCAGCACACGTGGACGCGGGTTGTGCTGAATAAATATCTCGTCTCATAGTTTCTCCTTTAACATTTACAAACCATGTGTGTCGTTAAAGTGCATGAGATTAACTCCAAACTACAAACTTTACAGATTCTTCCTTTTTTTTGACATTTGTAAAACTATGACTGTAGCTGATGAATCTAAAACTGGTAAAATTTCACCAAAAACGTCCAACTTATAAATCAAAAATAACATCGCTAATGTCAATGAGACTTTCCAACGCAAAATACAAAACATTTTCTTACAATAAACCTGTTTTAAGTCCATAAATCATCTCCATCCTACACATCTGTGAAAGCTAACGTCGGGTTAGCTTGACATGCCGCTAACGTGATGCTAACGTGATGCTAACACAGTTCCTATGTCTTACAACGAAGAAGCTAGTCTGTGTTTACCAAATATGGGCATGATTAGGTACAGACGAATTAGCTATGATCCGTAACACTAGAACTCCCACAGCAGTCAAATTGACGGCTTTAGTTTTAGAAGTGTTATTTCTCGGTGTAGGGGCTTTTTCGGTCATAACTTTGACTTTCTTCTGTATCTCTAGTAGTTCATTGTAGTTTATTTCTGTCATTGTCTTTAAGAAATGATATTATTTTTGAAACGTGATTAGTCTCATCTCTGGAGAGCGACTGCTGGTTACTATAGCAACGCACACTTCAGCATCAGCCGTTAGCATTTGGGCTTTAGCATTAGCCTTTCAACCAACTGCTTTAGCTCTTGGTAAAAGTGAGTAAATAATAAAATAATAATCATTGTGGGAGTCCTGGAGTTACATTTAGAAGCTGACGGACGGAAAATAGTTTAATCTTTACCATAGAATCTCAACGATAGTTTTGGAATCGTGGTCGGAACTGGATCAAACACAGACTAAAATCTGACCATAGACCGTGTAATTAGCAGTGGACCGACCGAGTGTGACATCACCCACAGAGTTAGCCTTAATGTAGAAGCTGATTTGAACATAAGCTAGCTGGAGCCAATTGCCTTATATGGGCATTGTTTACGACAGGGTTAGCTTTGCGCTGGAGCAGGGGTAGACGTGTAGCCAAGACAGTTGCTATGGCCGGCTGGAGCTTTCCTGCGCAATTGAAGGCCTCCGATTGGTCGATCCGAACAAGGCTCATATCTGGATTTAGGATCACAGAGAGCGCTGGACCACGGGTCTTTTTAAAGCTGAAAATGGTGAGTGTGACGTAAACGCTAACTGAGCTAGAGGAGTTCACTTATACATGGAAGTCAATGGGAGCCAGGAACTAGCCAAACTTACGAGACCCGGACTCGAGACCCGGACTGTAAACACGAAGCCGGACAAAGCGATTCATAATAACTTACACTGGTTTGGACGCCGTCAAATCCTCAAAAATTTACTGATAAAAAACTAAAAGCACCGCACTAAAAGGTACACACTTCCTGTAAACCTCTTCTTCTCTGAACATCTACACACACTTCACTACACACTTTATATAATCATGTATCACTTTGGTTTCTTGTTTTCTGGTGGCAGTTTTACACTCGCCGTCTGACAATATTCCCTCTTATGAGAATTTCACTCTGAACCAGAGCAGGGAAAATGGGCGGAGTCTGGTGTGCTCCTGCTTGGTTGGAATGAAGACCTGCAGAATACCTCTGTTTTAAACGGACTGTGTTTTAGGACTGAGCTCGTCCACAACAAACAAAACACATAAAAACACGACGCAGGACTTTTCTGAAGAATGAGATTTGTGGCTAAAGGACAAAAGCTAAATGTGTTTATGGTTCCTCCGGCGGCGTTTTCCATAAACATGTTTTAGTTCAGACCAGGAGAAGCTCCGCCCCCATCTGCACACATCCTGGTCCTCCACTCTTCTTCCATACACTGACACTTCATGGGAAAGGGCTGCAGCTACACACACACACACACACACATGCATACAGCCATACACACAGACACACACATACAAACATTAAACACAAAAACACACACTCACATACACAGACACACAAACACACACATCTGAGGTAAAATGACTTGAATTCAGAAGATTAAAATGTAAGTTTAATACTGCCAGTCAATTTGACGGCTTTTTATTCTGGCAGTGTAAAAACTCTGCTCATTAAATTCATAAAAATTACTAACTTTTAATAAAACTTGTGGAAACCATTTTTGGGACTTTTAAGAATTCCTTGTGAGCCGTCAAAATGACTGCTCCTTGGGTCTTGGTGTAATACAGCGTCTCTTTGAACGGAGAGAGGACTATTCTCTATGAATCATTGTTATTAATATTATTATCATTATTATTATTATTTTCTATGAAATCCTGAATTCAGGTCATTTTCTTCGGTACATTCTCAGCATTCGCACAAATCCGTGAAACCAAAACAACATTTCTCGGTGTCTTCTCGTTGCCGTGGCGACGCTGGTCCGGCGCGTGGAAAGTACGATGCTGCCGATTGGATAAGGGGTGGTAAAGGGGGCGGGGCCAGCGTGTTTTGGAGGCGTTCGCTCGTTAGCCTTGGTATAATGTTAGCGTTAGCTTTAGCATTAGCCCTGGGTGAGGCTCATCATGTGCTTGGCGATGTCGTACACGTAGGTGATGTCCGGCCGCTTCTCGGGGTCCGGGTTTATGCACATGTCCACCAGGTTCCTCAGCTGCAACACAAACACACAACATCAAATACACACTGTGTCTGGACCCAACAAGTCGTAAAAACATGGTTAGATTAAAGTGTACGATGGATTCTAACGTCCTGAAAGAAACAGACGAGAAAACAACAAACAAGATTTCTCAACATGTAAAAAGGGGGCATCGACTCTACTCTACCCAACCGTACTCCACTCTACTCTACCCTACTCTACTCTACCCTACCCTTCCCTACTTTACTCTACTCTATCCTATCCTATCCCACTCTACTCTACAATTCCAGTACACTTTAGTATCTTGTACCGTATCATAGCAACCTACCCACAACAAACCCTTGGTAACCATGGCTTCCAGCAGCAATGGCAGGGTAGGGTAGGGTAGGGTAGGGTAGGGTAGAGTAGAGTAGAGTAGAGTAGAGTAGAGTAGAGTAGAGTAGAGTAGAGTAGAGTAGAGTAGGGTAGGGTAGAGTAGGGTAGGGTAGGGTAGGGTAGGGTAGGGTAGGGTAGGGTAGAGTAGAGTAGAGTAGAGTAGGGTAGGGTAGGGTAGGGTAGGGTAGGGTAGGGTAGAGTAGAGTAGAGTAGAGTAGAGTAGAGTAGGGTAGGGTAGGGTAGGGTAGGGTAGAGTAGAGTAGAGTAGAGTAGAGTAGGGTGGAGTAGAGTAGAGTACAGTGAGTGTAGAGTAGAAAAGAGTAGAACGCAGTGGCGTAGCAAAAGGCCTACATTACAGTAATAACATTAATTTTGTGAAAGCTGTAGGTTCTCCGTCAGGTTCTCAGTCAGGTTCTCAGTCAGGTTCTCAGTCAGGTTCTCAGTCAGGTTCTCAGTCAGGTTCTCCGTCAGGTTCTCCGTCAGCTGAGGTCTAGCTGTGTTAGTTTGAGTTCTATGGAACATTTTTCTGGGTAATGTAAATGTATTCTGCAGTACCACAGCGCCCCCTGTGGCCATACGTGGAACAGCTGTAAGCTAGTGATACCCTATCCAGTTATTATAGATCCATGCTGTAACCCCTTAGTCCATTTTTCTCCCACATTTATAATTCTAGCACTTCCTGTATTCAAACAGTTTGATCTTTTGTTGGAGTGAAGTCCTCTGAGGCGACTTCTGCTGTGATTTAGGGCCAGACACAAATTTATTGAACTGAATTGATAAAAACGGCATGATTTACATTTAGGTCATTTTAAAGTACAGTCCCCCAGCTTTATTATCATTATTTTTAGTCATTTATTTGACTGGCACATTGCAAGTCAACACACTCATTTTCAACCATATTAACATTTTCAATATTCTTTTTTAAACTTCATATTTTAAGCGTTTGCTAAAGTCTGTTTTCAGATTCCGGGCTCATTACGGTGTTTGCTGGTGTTGGGTGCATCCAGTCGTTTAGCCTGAACACACGCCGCTGCCGAGGCGCCTCCACTGAAGCCCGGCGAGACGGACGCTCGCCAACCACAGGCATCATTAACACCGCCGCCAGTCGCCATGGCAACCACCGGAAGATTTTGAAGTGTTATTGAAAAAGTCCATGAGGCTGTTAAAGCTGGGCGACCCAACTTTTATTGTGTCATATCCGAGGTATGTTTGTCCCGAGCATGGATTGGCTCAATGACAGCCAAGTGAGAAGTGCTCATGGACAAAGTTTTGCTCCTTAATGCTTCTAGCTCTGGCTGTGTTAGTGAGAAAACTAATGTAGAAGCACATGGAGGAAAGAGAGATGGCCTCAGCTCAGAGGGAGTGGTGTAGGGTCAGAGAGGGTTTAGGCCTGTGTGTGTGTGTGTATGTGTGTGTGTGTGTGTGTGTGTTTGTGTGCACGTGTGTATATGTGCATATGTGTGTGTCTGTGTATATATGCATATGTGTGTGTCTGTGTATACATGTGTATGTGTGTATATGTATGTATGTGTATATGTGTTTGTATATGTGTGTATATGTATGTGTGTGTATGTGTATATGTGTGTATGTGTGTGTGTATATGTGTATATATGTATATGTGTGTATGTGTGTGTATATGTGTGTATGTGTGTATATGTGTATATGTGTGTGTATGTGTGTGTGTATACGTGTGTGTGTGTATATGTGTGTGTGTGTGTGTGTGTGTGTGTGTATATGTGTGTGTGTAAAATCATTTAAAATAATTTTCTCTGCATATTGCTTCTGGTTCGTTCTTTTGTGAACAAATATTCTAAATAAATAACTAGAACCAGCGCAGCTCCTGATTGGCTCGTTGGTCGCCGTCCCGTTGCTCCCTATAAATATATCTTGAGATTGTTAGTTATTTTTCCACAACAAAAGAAACACTTCCTGCTCGGTCCATTTAGTTCAACAGAAAACTCTGAAGAAGCTGATGTGAAGTCGTGACAACGTGAAAAATAGAAAAATGTTCAATGTAAAAATAAAAGTTTATTTACAGCCCACGATGGTGACGTTTCTGGTTGCGTTGCTGGTTGCGTTGCTGGTCGTGTTGCTGGTCATGTTGCTGGTTGTGTTGCTGGTCGTGTTGCTGGTCGTGTTGCTGGTCGTGTTGCTGGTCATGTTGCTGGTCGTGTTGCCTGTTGTGTTGCTGGTCGTGTTGCCTGTTGTGTTGCTGGTTGTGTTGCTGGTCGTGTTGCTGGTCGTGTTGCTGGTCGTGTTGCCTGTTGTGTTGCTGGTTGTGTTGCTGGTTGTGTTGCTGGTCGTGTTGCTGGTCATGTTGCTGGTCGTGTTGCCTGTTGTGTTGCTGGTCGTGTTGCCTGTTGTGTTGCTGGTTGTGTTGCTGGTCGTGTTGCTGGTCGTGTTGCTGGTTGTGTTGCCTGTTGGGTTGCTGGTCGTGTTGCTGGTTGTGTTTCTGGTTGTGTTGCTGGTTGTGTTTCTGGTCGTGTTTCTGGTCGTGTTGCTGGTCGTGTTGCTGGTCGTGTTGCCTGTTGTGTTGCTGGTCGTGTTGCTGGTCGTGTTGCTGGTCGTGTTGCTGGTCATGTTGCTGGTCGTGTTGCCTGTTGTGTTGCTGGTCGTGTTGCTGGTTGTGTTTCTGGTTGTGTTGCTGGTTGTGTTTCTGGTCGTGTTGCTGGTTGTGTTGCTGGTCCCTGAATCGGGTCCATATTGTTTTTGCAGAGGGAGAATTAGTCACTCAGACGGAGACGCGCTGACGAGATGCAGATATGTAAAATATTCAAGCGCCTCTTTGCATGGTGTGTGTGTGTGTGCGTGTGCGTCTGTGTGTGTGTGTGTGCGTCTGTGTGTGCGTGTGTGTGTGCGTGTGTGTGTGTGCGTCTGTGTGTGTGTGCGTCTGTGTGTGCGTGTGTGTGTGTGTGTGTGCGTCTGTGTGTGCGTGTGTGGAGGCAGCCGCACTCGGAGATGCTTAAATGACACAACAAAGATGAGCGTCTGACAGTTGGCGGCCAATCCTTCAGGAGCATTGTTTACACGCCGACAGCGCTGCGGGCTCCCCCCTCATCAGCGCTGTCTCTGCTCCATCAGCGGCTTTGTGTGTGCGTCTGTGTGTGTGTGTGTGTGTGTATGTATGTGTGTGTGTGTGTGTGTGTGTGTGTGTGTCAGCCCAGGCGCGGGTGACATGTGGGGCAAACGCAGCCCGCAAACTATACTGTTAGTGTGTGTGTGTCTTTGTCTGTGAGTGAGTAAGTGTGTGTGTGTGTGTGTGCGTGTGTGTGTGTGTGTGTTACTCTGAAGACATCCTGAAATCATCCCAGTTAGACAATTACTTACAGTAAGTAAATGTGTTGGACATTAAACACATCGAGTGTGGTCAGTGCGGTGAGGTTTGGAGGCACTGACTTCAGCCCAGTCAGATGAACACATGTGTCACAAACATCAACACGGCCTAGAGAGGCTCATCCACAGTGTGTTTGACCACAGTGTCTTTGACCACAGTGTGTTTGACCACAGTGTCTTTGACCACAGTGTGTTTGACCACAGTGTGTTTGACCACAGTGTGTTTGACCACAGTGTGTTTGACCACAGTGTGTTTATCCACAGTGTCTTTGACCACAGTGTCTTTGACCACAGTGTGTTTGACCACAGTGTGTTTGACCACAGTGTCTTTGACCACAGTGTGTTTGACCACAGTGTGTTTGACCACAGTGTCTTTGACCACAGTGTCTTTGACCACAGTGTCTTTGACCACAGTGTGTTTGACCACAGTGTGTTTGACCACAGTGTGTTTGACCACAGTGTCTTTGACCACAGTGTGTTTGACCACAGTGTCTTTGACCACAGTGTGTTTGACCACAGTGTGCTTGACCACAGTGTGTTTGACCACAGTGTGTTTGACCACAGTGTCTTTGACCACAGTGTGCTTGACCACAGTGTGTTTGACCACAGTGTCTTTGACCACAGTGTGTTTGACCACAGTGTGTTTGACCACAGTGTCTTTGACCACAGTGTCTTTGACCACAGTGTGTTTGACCACAGTGTGCTTGACCACAGTGTCTTTGACCACAGTGTCTTTGACCACAGTGTGTTTGACCACAGTGTCTTTGACCACAGTGTCTTTGACCACAGTGTCTTTGACCACAGTGTGTTTGACCACAGTGTGTTTGACCACAGTGTCTTTGACCACAGTGTCTTTGACCACAGTGTCTTTGACCACAGTGTGTTTGACCACAGTGTGTTTGACCACAGTGTGTTTGACCACAGTGTGTTTGACCACAGTGTCTTTGACCACAGTGTGTTTGACCACAGTGTGCTTGACCACAGTGTCTTTGACCACAGTGTGCTTGACCACAGTGTGTTTGACCACAGTGTGTTTGACCACAGTGTGTTTGACCACAGTGTCTTTGACCACAGTGTGTTTGACCACAGTGTCTTTGACCACAGTGTCTTTGACCACAGTGTGTTTGACCACAGTGTGTTTGACCACAGTGTGCTTGACCACAGTGTGTTTGACCACAGTGTGTTTGACCACAGTGTGTTTGACCACAGTGTGTTTGACCACAGTGTCTTTGACCACAGTGTGTTTGACCACAGTGTGCTTGACCACAGTGTGTTTGACCACAGTGTGTTTGACCACAGTGTGTTTGACCACAGCAGAATGTGTTTCATACATGGTTTGCTCATACAAAACACAAAAGTCTGTAAAAAGCACATTTCAAAGTGTGTTCTGGGCCATAACTTAGTTATTCATGAACCAGTTCAGTTCAGACCAGTTCAGTTCAGACCAGTTTCATGTTTAAGTCCAGATAATAGTCTGAGCGTAGATATGTAATCCTCCATTTGGAAATAAGTCCAATGAGTTTTAAAAAGTAAAACAAACGAGTGTCTCCTCCATAAACTCTGTTTCGCTGCAGCCGACTCTCGGGAGCATCCCATTTCTAAAAGTTCAGACACCCCTGATGTACGAAGGAGATGAGGAGTTTGAAACAGGAGCATTCTGACAGAAGGGAGTGGTTCTAACAGTGAGTGTGAAGTGGCCCCGGGGTCTGCAGCCGGAGCAGAACCTCGGCCTCAGACTGTCTGTTCTTTCATATGTTTGCTAATTATTATTGAAATGAATTATTATAATAATTAATCAGTTTTATACAGAGCTTTTCTGGACTCTCAAAGTCTCTTCACAACATTATCCTCTCTCTCCAAACACAGATAAACTACTGTAGCCACAGCTGCCCTGGGGCACACTGACAGAAGCGAGGCAACCAGTCTGTGTCATCGGCCCCTCCCACCATTTTTCAGCCACAGCTGCCCCATGTTTACACAAACACACACACTTAATGCCAAACAACAGTTTGTGACAAATACACAACAGTTTGTGACGACTACACAACAGTTTGTGAGGACTACACAACAGTTTGTGACGACTACACAACAGTTTGTGACGACTACACAACAGTTTGTGACGACTACGCAACAGTTTGTGACGACTATGCAACAGTTTGTGACGACTACGCAACAGTTTGTGACGACTACGCAACAGTTTGTGACGACTACGCAACAGTTTGTGACGACTACACAACAGTTTGTGACGACTACACAACAGTTTGTGACGACTACACAACAGTTTGTGACGACTACACAACAGTTTGTGACGACTACACAACAGTTTGTGACAACTACACAACAGTTTGTGACGACTACACAACAGTTTGTGACGACTACACAACAGTTTGTGACGACTACACAACAGTTTGTGACGACTACACAACAGTTTGTGACGACTACACAACAGTTTGTGACGGAGGAGAGACGCAGGAAGGATCCAGATGGACCTTTCCAGGAATAACTCAGAAACTGAAACAGATCTGAGGAAAGTTCAGCCTCATCTTGAAGCTTTGGTCGTTCCTCAGTCACAGACACAGAGCAACTGCTACTGACAGAAACTGACTCTTCTGGACAGGGCCATGTTCCAGCTTCTTCACTATAGTTTGTGGATGCTAACATGCTAATGTGCTAACATGCTAACGTGCTAACATGCTAACATGCTAACGTGCTAACATGCTAATGTGCTAACTGCTTCTTTCAGCTATGTTCATTTGTATCGCACAGTTTTGTCGGTTAGTTTCTTGTTCTGTTTCAGGCTGTTTTCCTCCTGGTGCTCCTGGAGACTGTAGAACATGTTTTTAATTATAGTTTTACCTCAAATGGAACTGGACCGACTGTATTTGTGAATATTTCTATAACAGACTGTGAAGGAATTAGGGATGTAAATCGGTGACCGTTTAACCGGTGGTTGACCGTCACAGCGTTAACCGGTCAAAGCTGTCGGTTAAAAAAGAGAAAAAGAGAAAAAGGGGAGGTCTCTTAATAACGCTATTTTAAGCCCTATTTGCACGGTGTGACGAGCGGGTCTGTATCTAGCTGTGTGCGCCCATGTATTATAAACGAGCCACATATGCACACACACACACACACACACACACACACACACACACACACACACACACACACACACACACACACACACACACACACACACACACACACACACACACACACACACACACACACACACACACACACACACACACACACACACACACACACACACACACACACACACACACACACACACGCACGCACGCACGCACGCACGCACGCACGCACGCACGCACGCAGGTCTGTCGCACTCCTCTGTGTCACGGAGCCCAAAGGATTCGCACAAATACGCGGCTCCAGTCAAACCACATGGAACATGTTTGTGTTTATGGTCCTCGGGATCAGCTCCACAAACATCACTTGTATTTAAACTTTAGCAAAGACCTGTGAGACGCGTCACTCGCTGCTCTGACCATGTGGACGAGCCGTCGTTTGCTGCTAGAAAGTTTTGGTATTAACCCGCAGTACAGAAGAATGGGAAGATTAAAAAAAGCAGTTCTCTGTGCGCAAAGGTGCTGAAGCTGTTGCGGGTTTTGGCGCCGCTGTCTCGGCTCTGATCCAGTAGAACACTCAGCTGCTCTTATGGAAAGTACGCAGCTCGAAATGGCTGTTATTTCAAAGAACGTGGACTATTTTAAACTACGCGGTTAACCGGTTTCAACCGGTTAATGAGGCTCGGTGGTCAGTCATGAACATTCATAGTTTTTTACATCCCTAGAAGGAATCACCGCAGACACAAAGAAGTGTTCAACAGAAACAACATTCAGTGAGAATCTCTGACGAAGCTCAGAGCGACGGCAGCAGCTGTTCTAAAGAAACACCTCAGACCTGGGTCTACAGCCTCAGTCCTGGGTCTACAGCCTCAGTCCTGGGTCTACAATCTCAGTCCTGGGTCTACAGCCTCAGTCCTGGGTCTACAGCCTCAGTCCTGGGTCTACAGCCTCAGTCCTGGGTCTACAGCCTCAGTCCTGGGTCTACAGCCTCAGTCCTGGGTCTACAGCCTCAGTCCTGGGTCTACAGCCTCAGTCCTGGGTCTACAGCCTCAGTCCTGGGTCTACAGCCTCAGTCCTGGGTCTACAGCCTCAGTCCAGGGTCTACAGCCTCAGTCCTGGGTCTACAGCCTCAGTCCTGGGTCTACAGCCTCAGTCCTGGGTCTACAGCTCAGTCCTGGGTCTACAGCCTCAGTCCTGGGTCTACAGCTCAGTCCTGGGTCTACAGCCTCAGTCCTGGGTCTACAGCCTCAGTCCTGGGTCTACAGCCTCAGTCCTGGGTCTACAGCCTCAGTCCTGGGTCTACAGCCTCAGTCCTGGGTCTACAGCCTCAGTCCTGGGTCTACAGCTCAGTCCTGGGTCTACAGCCTCAGTCTGGGTCTACAGCTCAGTCCTGGGTCTACAGCCTCAGTCCTGGGTCTACAGCCTCAGTCCTGGGTCTACAGCCTCAGTCCTGGGTCTACAGCTCAGTCCTGGGTCTACAGCCTCAGTCCTGGTCTACAGCCTCAGTCCTGGGTCTACAGCCTCAGTCCTGGGTCTACAGCCTCAGTCCTGGGTCTACAGCCTCAGTCCTGGGTCTACAGCCTCAGTCCTGGGTCTACAGCCTCAGTCCTGGGTCTACAGCCTCAGGCCTGGGTCTACAGCCTCAGTCCTGGGTCTACAGCTCAGTCCTGGGTCTACAGCCTCAGTCCTGGGTCTACAGCCTCAGTCCCTGGGTCTACAGCCTCAGTCCTGGGTCTACAGCCTCAGTCCTGGGTCTACAGCCTCAGTCCTGGGTCTACAACCTCAGTCCCTGGGTCTACGCCTACAGCCTCAGTCCTGGGTCTACAGCCTCAGTCCTGGGTCTACAGCCTCAGTCCTGGGTCTACAGCCTCAGTCCTGGGTCTACAGCCTCAGTCCTGGGTCTACAGCCTCAGTCCTGGATCTACAGCCTCAGTCCTGGATCTACACCCTCAGTTCTGGATCTACAACCTCCGTCCTGGATCTACAGCCTCAGTCCTGGATCTACAGCCTCAGTCCTGGATCTACAGCCTCTGTCCTGGATCTACAGCCTCAGTCCTGGATCTACAACCTCCGTCCTGGATCTACAGCCTCAGTCCTGGATCTACAACCTCAGTCCTGGATCTACAGCCTCAGTCCTGGATCTACAGCCTCAGTCCTGGATCTACAGCCTCTGTCCTGGATCTACAGCCTCTGTCCTGGATCTACAGCCTCCGTCCTGGATCTACAACCTCAGTCCTGGGCCTACAGCCTCAGTCCTGGATCTACAGCCTAAGTCCTGGATCTGGAGCCTCAGTCCTGGATCTACAGCCTCAGTTCTGGATCTACAGCCTCAGTTCTGGATCTACAACCTCAGTCCTGGATCTACAACCTCAGTCCTGGGCCTACAGCCTCAGTCCTGGATCTACAGCCTAAGTCCTGGATCTGGAGCCTCAGTCCTGGATCTACAGCCTCAGTTCTGGCTCTACAGCCTCAGTCCTGGATCTACAGCCTCAGTCCTGGATCTGCAGCCTCAGTGTGTACTTTCTGTTCTGTCTGGTGAACACTGGGAAAGTCTTGCACCGTTATTCCAATGTGGTTTTACTGAAAACGGCAAACAGACTGAATCTGATGTGAATCCTGTATCCTCAAAATGGAGATACTCAGCTGTCAACAATACGTGTCATTTACGCTGTTGTCAAATCATTCATTCCTATTTGTACATAAATCAAGAGCAAATCAAACGTTCCACTTCAAATAAACGCAGACAAATGGACTTGTCATGTTTCTCATACTCCCATCATGAGCTCAGCAGGGGGGGCACGATGTCCCAATGATGCCAAGTCTGGTGTGTGTGTGTGTGTGTGTGTGTGTGTGTGTTATGGGTATACAGTATGTGTACGTCAGGCTAATCTTAACAATGTGATGAAATAAATACAGAGGCTGACAGGTTTAGGTGCATTTAACCAGCTGTACAGAGGCAGGCAGGTGAGAGGGGGAGAGTGAGGGGGGTGAATGGGGGGCGGAGCAGAGGGTGGGGTGGGGTTAGGGATGGACGAATGAATCTCTATCAGTGCAGGCGGAGGCATTAAAGGTGGATTCCTCAACTGTCCTGCTGGTGACTCAGGTAAGACTTAGAAATACAACCTTAACCCTTTAGGAGGCGCCATTTTTACATCAATTTCTTACTAACTTAAAAGTGATAAGAGATTAATGTAAAGGCGTTATGTAAATTAGATAAATTACAAGGATGGCCCAAAGTTTATGTAGGAATTAAATGTAAATGTAAATGTAATTTGAATTATATACCTTCATATGAGATTCAGATTCATTTGTTTTTCCATTTTCAGTAAAATCACATTGGAATTACATTTGCAAAAGTCCCCAGTGTGCACAAGACAAGTACATAAATAAATTTAAATTATATGGTGGTGGTAATCGTGGATTTTTTTTTTTTTTACTGACAAACATACAAATCACTACAGGACAGGAACACTGTTTGGCGGCGAGTTTGAGTAGTAGAAGTAGCAGGGTGCCAAATAAATTTAAAAAGCCTGCTTTCAGTACCGCATATTGTCAAAATTTAAGTCAACCGTAGCCTCTAGAGGGTTAAGTCTAAAAACACAGATTATCAGTCAAGCTGCATACGGAGACACTTTAACTTGAGCGGTGTCCTCTACTCTTCCTTCTTTATCCGTCATTATGTAGTCTGTTCATTGCTATTCACTGGCTGTTTCATTGTCTGTCTCATGGTGTGATGATGGGACCCCTGAACCCGGCCGGCTCCATCTGCACCTCTGGACTGTCCTGAAAAAGGATTATTTCAGAATTTGATTAATTTGAAAGGCAGGTCTGTCTAAAATTCTACTCCTGGGGTGTCTGTAATGTAGAGTCCTAGAGCTGGATAATTTGTCTGTGGTGCTTCTTCAGAAATCCTGTGACACCGAAGACTCCCACGCTGCTCTCAGAAAGGCCGCGTGACGCCTGAGCGATCGATCCGAAGACCTTTCCCGGACCCTCTGTGCATCGGGCAAATCTTGTAAATGTCATAGCGTTTCATTTTAATCCTGCTTTGATAATCCCACAGGGTAAAGACGAGGTAAAGGCAGAGCCCAGGGGAGAGAGGCCTCACTGCAAGAAGGTCACGGATTTCAGAGAGAGACGGGAAATCCAAAAATGCATTCAGATTCAGATTTAGACTAATATTATTCCTCCCACCAGGGGCAGTTCCTTTGAGCAGCATCAGGCATAAAGACAAACACAGGAAATGTCAAACAGTAACATTAGCAATACGATATGAAGTTTATGTATGTATTTTTTTATTTATTCAGTATGGACATAACAATAACGTTGGACGAACCAAGATGCATTGTAAGTGTCATAGCACACGTTAGTTTTCAACTCTAGTCAACAGGGGCTTTAACAATACAGAAGATCTAATACATGTCATACAACTAGAAT